CGGTGGATTAAGTAAAAAATGAAAGAAAGAGATGCACCAGAATAAGTAAGATGTGAGGAAAATAAATGTCATCTTGTTTGCACACATAAACATTTTTAACAAGGTATTAATAAGTTATTCATTTTCCAAAAAAATATCTAAAGATTTTTATTTTTTCTTGAAAACATTTTAAAGTACCCTGCCATTTCAGCAAACGAGCTTATTTTAAAAAATTCTTAGCTACGTCACTGCTTCCGTCCGGATAAATTAATCATTTTTTGAAAGAACCGTTCAAACACAGGTTCAGCGCCTAATAGACTGTCTGGTTGCTGTGCTTTACCATGCGCAACTTGGCCGATGCAGATGACGAGCGTCGCTTGCTCAAATTTGATTTCGTCTTGAGCACGTGATGGAACATGCCAAGTGCTTGTATAACCTGTTTGAAATAACATAACATTAGCTCTCAGAAAAAATATTTCTGTTTGGGCTAAAAGAAATTTTTTATACGTTTTTTAAATTACCAATCAGTCAAAAAGACAAAAAGAAGATCAGGTTCGTCAGCAGGCGGACCAGTCGGCGATACAGCACTGGTCATAACAACTGAAAAAGTTGACAACTGCATAAATGGGAAATCGTGCTGTCAACCGCCGTTGGTTTAGGGAAAAAGATAAGTCAGTTTTCTCCTTGCGCATTTAAATTTTTTTCACTCGAGCAATAGTAGAGGTAAAATCCGTTCGCATTTCTAGAAGAAACGGAGACAGAGGAAGGTGGTACAGCACGTTGTCTGCAAGATGTTAAGAGCTACCTCACCTATGAGATGCTTAATGTATTATACAAGTGAAAAGTGAAGTCCGACTTTCTGTCATGCTTCAGTACCATGTTAGCATCGAAAAAGTGACTAGTTTTTCCATTAACTGAGTCAAACTGTAAGCTCAAAGCTGAAAGCACGCAGCTCGCTACCGCTTCAAACCAGCCCATATATCATTACTATCAAAGTCACAATAATTTCACTCAAAAATTAAAACCTCCTGTTTTCATTCTCCAAGAGAAGCGGAAACACTTGAAAGTAACCCAAGGGTAGCATTTACCAACAGCAACCATTCACTAGCAGCCGACTGTCGATGGCTTTCTCTTTCGTGGGTTACTCAGAAGTTAAAAGCGGGTTTGACTCCTTGGTATATACCAGTACCAGTTTACCATCGAAACAAGTGAATAAATCGTAAAGGGATTAGTTGCTTCATTAGCGGCGCCGAATCCCCCGGGCTCCTGCATAACAACAGTGATTCTCCCTATTGTTCCACGGCAGCCAGAAATTTCACTAGTTTTAGAGCTGGAAAAACAAAATCGCTGGCTAAAGAAAACTAACATTATCTCGCTGGTCTGCCGGAATTGTATTTAAGTATTTGTCCGAATCAACTTTGATCATCACCTGAAAGCTGGCACAATTGCTTCAAATATGACACAGCCGACCGTTATCAGCTGAAGATGTGGTAAATTTAATCTTGTCAAGCAAATAATAAAGGCTAATTTCGGATAACCAAAATCATTAATTAAAAATTTATGATTTTCAATAGAATCTGCATTTCAAAGGTCGAAATTTTGGCTTTTCTTCAAGCAGCACTGACGAAATTTTGCAGCGATTAAACACAGTTTCAGATTTTGTTTCGAGCCCAGAAATTAATAATCAAATAAAATTTACTTAAAAAATTTAATGCTTCGGAGAAAAAAGAAATGACAGTGCCTACGACCTTCTGAAAGTAGCTTTCTCATCATTTTTTACAAGATCGGAATTCTTGAAGAATTTCTGCTGATCATATTAAAACTTCTTTAACACTTGCTCCCAATGGTGGATAGTAGCTCGCAGTCATGCAAACAGCAAACGTTTGCTGGGCTGTCGATGGCTCCCTCCTCCTCCGGATGCTTAGAAACAAGCTGATGGTGGGTCTGATTCCTTGCCACGTGCCAATACCAAATTACCATCGATAAGAATGAGTGAGTTGCAGAGCGATTGGTTATGTCGTTGGCGGAGTCGAACTCCTTATCTCTTGCACGACAGTGGCGACACCCACTATACCTACCACTGCACCATTTCTTGATTCTTAAAAGTTGCCAGATTTT